ATCTACACATCACACAGAGCTATAATTAAGTTCTATTATTATTCTATCCTAAATACTACTTGAAATATTTCTTACATTATATAAATATTTATATTATTATTAAGGGTAAGACTAAAATTGAGTCCTTTTTCATCAGTTTAATTAGTAGTAAATTCATTTTGGAGTGTAATTTAAAGTGATTTAAAAGATAATACTTCTTATTATAGGATATATCTGTATTATAGTTTGTTTTTACATTGATGTAAATAAAAAGGCTTTGATTATTGAGAGACCAGAATCAATTTTTACTCAGAAAAAACTTTTCTATAGATTAATATCTAAGTATTAACAAAGTGAAACTAGATTATAATTAAATCAATAAAATGATAAAATATTTAAAGCAAATTATCAGTTTTAATATTTTTTATGTGAAGCATCAACTTCTATCATATCCTAATATCTATCTTTAATTGATTATAGAGTTCCCATTAATCTTTAAATAAGATTTTAGTTTTATCCATAAAAAATAAACTTGATATTTCATCATGATTATATCTACAAATGAATTTTTTTTCACCTTTAAGCAAGATATTTATAAAATAGGTGATTTGGTCGATATTTAAAATCTTTTTAAGTATTATAAATAAGGTAAGGATCTTCTAACCAATTCACCATTTTCAGTTCCATCTGCCTATATATATAAATGATTACCATAAAATCTTAGAATATATTATTTCTCATAATTTAACAACCTATTAAGGATAAGCTTTATTCATATTAAACCTCCAATAAGAATTCATTGATAGAATAATTAAAACTTTGATGATTTAATGCTGAATAGAATAGAATACAAAATAATGGTCTATTACTCATATAAATAGAATTAATTCTCATTAGGATGTATGAAAGTTCTCATCAATTTTCCATTATTTAGATTATACCCACTAGTAGACACATAAATACAATTAATCTAAATAATAAATAATTAAATATTTATTTGAATGATCAAAATACATACATTTAGCATGTAATTTATAAATATCCTTCTATTTTTTAAAATTTCCACAAAGTAAAAAGCCCACTTTTCCCTAAGAATAATCATATATTCTTTTTTATCTGAAGTTAATATAATAATGGAGGCAGTGTGTATTTGATAAATATCAATAATTTGATTTTTATCACCTATTATAAATGAGTTTACTTAGATGAAAACCTTCACAAAACTATTTGCCTTGATAGAAACTAATAAAAGATAAAAAGATAATTAAGTTGGCACATCCCATATTTTTCTACATTAAAATAGTGGTTAATTGATTTAAACATCTGTTAAACTTGACCATTTAAGATAATTCAATTTCACTTTTTACCATCTCATATCTAAAATCCTTTTAATCTTAACAATTGCTCTATTACTTGCTTATTATAAATCAATAATAGTTTCATAGTTGCTTTCTTCATATAAGCAAAATAGAAAGGGAGTAGAAAATGAGGATAATTGTAATTCTAATTTAATTGAAAGCATAGCATAAAAATAATGATTTAAAATGAATTTAAATAAAAACAGAAGAGTCACTTTATTTCAAATTCTAGGAAGAAGAAGATTCAATAAAAAAAATCATCAAAACATAAGAAGTCAAGCACAATAGACCACAAGTAATTATCATAATTATATGATAATCTCCTAACTGATTTATATATATATATAAATTCAATCAATTAACCAACCAATCCTTTTATTCTTTTTTCCTTTAGAATATCCTGTTAATTATTCTACTTCTTATAATGGAATTATATGCATTAATATCACCTCTAACATCACCAGTAATAAGTACTGAATTATTATGAACAAATCTGACCATAGATTTTGCTGGTCAATTAATTAATCCAAGGACATAATAGGAAAAGATGGATCTAACATATTATTCTTACTTAAATCCTATAATTCTAATATACCGTCTTTACCTACTGATGCAAATAATACAGAAGTATGAGGAGAGAAAATCTAAAACTTCATTTTATAAATATTATTGTTAAATTCCAAAATCTAATTGTCATATCTGGAAGATACCAATTATTATTCGTTCCGACCTTGAAAATTGCGTTAAACCTTAAAAAGTGATTCTGAAAAGGAGGATCACTCTTAGAGTCCTTCCTATAGAATTTACCTTTACCCCTCAATCTCTAGATTTTTATTTGCTAACATTTTTTATGGGTCATAATTAAATTTGCTTAAATTTATCCTTTATTGAGCCCATTATATCCTATTATTAATGGACATTTGCCTATTATTATTTTGATTCTTCTGAAAATTTTTGGTGTTTTAACATATTCTCTCTGTATGAATATTCTGCAGGTATCTTTTGAATAGTATTATACAAATGTCATCTTTATCAAAGTAATTTTCACTTTTGATCCATTTCGTTTCTTGCACATCCTATCATATGTAATGTAATTTGTGACATATTAATATAGTAAAATAATATTATTTGATTGCAATAGGAATTTCAAGTCCTTAATCTTCTTATTTTCTTTGTTTTTGTAGATTTAATTATTTCTGAAAAATAGGAAACTTATAACTTTTTTTTTATCAAATCTTTTTAAAAAGTAATTACATTTAGTATTTATCTATCCAAAATAGGATAGATTAAATCAAAATATAATTTTTTAATAATAATTAACTTCATTTTTTAAATTGGATATGGGCTATTAGTAAGGACCAGATGCATGGATATTAAATTATTTAAAAACTGTCGCATCTTGACGATAAAAAATTTTGAGAACATACAAAATTTAAATTTATGCATAAACACAGCGACATATAAAGAAGTAGAGAGATTAAATAATATTATTTTTATACTTTCGTTCTAAATGCCATTCAATAACATAAAGCTAAGGTAAACAATTATAGATTGACCTTATCAAAAAATTAAAACGTAAAAGGTATTTAAACTACGATTTAAATAATAAATGAAAAGGTTTAAAATAACGAAATACACTTAAAGTAGACTAATTTTCTAACATTCTCAATCATATACAATCATATATATAATAATGAAACTCTTCATAAGATAATCAGAAATAGTGAAAGCGTTTCAATCTGTTAATTGCTTTAATCGAATAGCAAAATTTGCAAGAGAAGATTCCGTTTTCCATAAGAATTTAATTTATTCCATACACTAAAAAAAATGCTTGCTTATTATTTAAAAAACAAGAAATTAAAAGAACTGAAAACCTTTACTTGTTAAAATCATATAAAATAATTGGATATATCTTTTTTGCTTAAAAAATTAAAAATGCCTTATTTTGTGATTTGTGAATAAATTCTCAATAAATTTTATTATATAATTAAATGTTTAAACCAAAAATGATAGAAAATGAAAAAGATTTTTGTTGTTCTAAAGGACATAAGCTACCAGTTGTTACAGTTTTTCTTGATCCAAAATTACCAAGGAATCAGAGACTCTTAAGCACTGAATGCTTATAGAATACGGATATAGATGGCAAAGCGATAGGATTAAAGAAAATTATTTCATTAATAGAAGAAAATTAAGTAAAGAAGATGGAAGAAGTAGAGTCGTCATAAATAACTAAATCAAATTAATTTAATCATTATGTAGCATTGTTGATTTAATGAAATCAAATATAATTCAACAATTAAATTAATTGATTACTATAATGATGGAATGGATTCAAAATCTATAATAACAAGGATCATAATATTCTTAATATAGTTTTTACGATGAATTAGAAATTATGTTATTGAAGTAAAATGAAACCTATTCCAATTAATAAATATTAATTCATGAAATTAAAAAAACTAATCTCTGTTGGACTTCAAAAGTACATTCTTAATTAGAATAGTTTAATTAATTTATAGAAAATAATAGATGTAAAGACTTTTTGTCGAATTTAGAATATGGTTCTTAGAAAATTAATCGGATTGAATAATAAAAGTAAATCAATATTTAACAAATAAATTAATAAACATAATCAGCCAGTACATAAATCAATATTCTACCATCAGAAAGTAGTTAATCTATTAATCAATCGAATCTAAAACCATTCTATTATTAACTCATACAGGAAAGTTCAATTTAATAAAGTGAGTGGTGTGGTGCAATAGCTATTGATAAGGACTTTAAAACATTTATGGCTGGATGTGAATCACTAATTTAAGTATTTGAATTTAACTAAGGGAAGATCGAACAAATTTAATCTTTAAATCAACATAAATAGTGGTATCTACTTTAAACTTTATGAATAAATCTAAATAGTTTATATCTGGAAGTTTTGATAAATCTATTATAATATGGAAATAAAATTAAAATAATTAATGAAGTTTATAATAAATATTAAATGGACATAGTAATTGTATCTAATGCTTATTAATAAATACTAATGATGATCTAATTATATCTGGAGGTGATGATAAAACTATTAAATTTTGGATAAAAAAGAATGAATGGTTGTGTTAATAAACAATTACTGATCATTCTAAATAAGTATTAGGATTAAGTTTAAATTAATAATAAAATAGAATTATATCATGTGGAAATGATTAATATATATTAATAATAGAACTATCAGGATAGAATACAGAATGGAAAGTCATATAAAAGATTAAAGTTGAATAGTATGGATGTAGAGTATGCTTTATTGATAATAATATGTTCACATTTTCACCAGTAAATAAAGAATAGATATCTGTTTTTGAGATGAATACTAACAATTAATAATTTATCAAAGCTAGAGTTATTCCTATAAAGAGTGGATCAGATATCTATGGAAGATTTCCTTAAAAATATATAAATTAAAAATGTATTCTTGCGAGTAAGAATGGAGAATATTTGAAAAAATACTATTCCAGTATGTTAGTGTCGATAATTTGCAATTATTATAATTATTATACTATTATTT